TTTTTGGATTAAGTTAGACAGGGATGCGGTAAAAAAATACTATATTATATAGTAGTATATTTATTTCAGTGTCCTGCGAGACAATGCATTAAATGTACTATTATATAATATAGTATTTAAAAAAAACAAAACTATTTCTTTGTGTTTCACATGAATAATTTGCCTCATAATAATAATTGTGTATAAATATAATTTATTTTTAATTACTTTCTTTGTTTAGTTTCAGATGAGAACAACTCCTGTATTTACTGTGATAATACTTTTAAGTTTACTGAAATCATTCAGTTGAAGAATTAGTTTATTATAATTGTTATTCATATTTACATGAAGATGTTTTTTGTACATTTTGTTAAAAAAAAAAAAAAAAAACAGAAAAAATTAAAAATAATACTGAGACATTTTTAACCAAGTTTGTTATAGTTTTTATAAATAAAGATGGTTTCTTACAATTTGAGAATAAAAAAATGGTTAATTTTTAAATTCAAATATATGATAATCTTAAAATTAATGAAAATCTTCCAAAATTACTTTAAAATTTTGTATTTTTAAAAATGTTGTATCTCGTGATGATGTAATATTCTCCAAATTAAAATTAAATTCATACCAAAGAATATTTCTGCTCTATTTTTATTGATTTACTTTTTTTCCTTTTACCTGCCTACACTTCATTGGACTGTATTTTAATATTTTCAGACTAGTTGGCCCAGGCGAATAATTAGCAGAAAATTGTGTTTATTAAAGGAATAGCGAAACAATATGGAATTAAATAGATCCTATGTATTATGTGAGGTAGGAATTAATTGTGTGTGAGAATTAATTGCTAGAGTTTATTTTTAAACAGTGACTGGAAGGGTAATATTCAAAATAAAGCCTCGATCATGGAATTTTCTAAATTATTAAAAACTATTAAATTTACGAACAAAAAAATGCCTTTAAGAAATAATAAATTATATATCAGCCAGGAAAAAAAAGAGTAGTACAATACTAAGAATACTAAGTATACCAAATTTAATGGACTGTATCTTTGTTAATAATTGTCCGATTTTTATGATTTATTTTTTATTTTGTAGGTTATTTAGTAATCTTTCTTATAATGATGGATACAGTCGAGAAAAAAATGCATACTTTTTTGTTATTCACAAATAACATTTCTTTTCCTTCATAACTTTTTCCCTAAAATTTCATGGGGAAATGACTAATTTTCGCATTTGAAGGAGAAGAATATCCTCAAAAATGAGTGGTCAATCATTGGATTTGATGAAGAATTGAGGTTATGGTGTACTGACAAAAAAACATCTTTTAGAAATATTATATAAGATTTGTTAAACAAAACGCTACAGTATCATTATTTATATTGAATATTTAATAGTAGACCGTTGCATTATAAAGGAAGGAGATGGTCCGGGGTTGCGGTCATAAATAGGCTGAATAGTGGTAAAACTATTTTATTGAAAGCCGACGTTTCGACCCGACTTTGCAGGTCTTCTCCAGGGCTAGAACGGACAAGATACAAACAGATAAAGAATTGTGGCAGTTACATAATATTAAGACATAATTTATAAACAATGTGAATAAGCTTATTAAAATTATAAACAGAAAGTACAATAAAATATGAACAAAGTAAGCTGAGTAACAAGATCATAAACTGAAGTAAATAGATGCTAACAATTGTTGTAGTGTAATATATAATAAATGAAAATGTGAATATACTTCTATAAATCTACAGGAGAGATTGAAAGAAAAGGAAAAATGATATAATATGAAATAATAGACATAAAGGAATGTGGGTAAAGAAAAGAAAAAAGGAAACCAAAAATTAGATAAATAAGTAAATAAAATTAGAGACTTACAGGTGTCTTCAGCTAGGAGTTTGACTTAGAACTGGAAAACCAAGGGTAAGGGCCGGTATAGGGGTAATATTATTTACTTCAGTTTAGGATCTTGTTACTCAGCTTACTTTGTTCATATTTTACTGTACTTACTGTTTATAATTTTAATAAGCTTATTCACATTGTTTATAAATTATGTCTAAATATTATGTAACTGCCACAATTCTCTATCTTTTTGTATCTTGTCCATTCTAGCCCTGAAGAAGACTTGCAAAGTCTGGTCGAAACGTCGGCTTTCAATAAAATAGTTTTACCACTATTCAGCCTTTTTATGACCGCAACCCTGGACAATCTCCTTCCTGTATCATTATTTACTCTAAACAGTCTTTTTATTGTGTCTGTAGGGACAATATTTATTATTGCTATTGTAAATTAAAATGTGTCAACAAGACTTGTTTATTTATGATAAAAATAATAAAGTTTTTTTCTATATTATTCAAAGTGCCTAAGAGACTTCAGAAAAAGCAATATTTTAATTTTTAAAAACTCGAACATGTGATGAGTATCACACAACAAATATGACATCTAAGAGGCTGTTGGGAAGAATTACAATGTGTCTAATAACAATAAATATTTTTGTTTAACAATTAAAACTTGGGCCTGGTATATTCCATAGGAACTTTACTGATGTCCATAAACTTACCGCAAGAGTTTAGAAACCTTCAACTTTCTTCAATGACTTTGATTAAAGTTATAGAATGAATTCTAAAATTGATATAGATAATTGTCATTTCTCCATGAAATTTCGTTTCTTTTGACACCTAGTTCGTCAAAATGCATCAGCACTGAGAGTCGGAAAAATGATCTTTACTATAGCATTATACTTCGTGTAGATCAGGAGTTTCTAAACTTTTTGGCCTGTGGGCCGCATTGAGAGTTTGACTAAGTTACGTAGGCCACATTAAGACCTCGACTAAGTTCTGCGAGCCACATTGAGACCTCCACCCAAGTCGTGTTGGCCATGATTTGTTATGGAAAAAAAGTTTTGTTATATAAATAGCTCTTCAGTTGTGAAATGAACTTTCTAAGAGAAATAACCCATGCAATAAATGTTGTAGAAACATCCTGTGTGGGTGATTTGCTATGTTTCATGTTTTTAAAATTATAATGTAATCAAAGAAACTTTTGCAGGCAATTTTTGGGGACTCCTGGTGTATTAGGTTGGCAAATAAGTCCTTTCGGTTTTTCTATCACTATGATACGCTTCTTATCTGATGAATTAATCCCTAAGGTGGATTTTTTATCCTGTTTGTAATATGTCAACAACTATATCTATTAACTCTTGTTGAAACTAGCTTAGTATTGTGTTTGCCATGGCACTGTGAATATGGAACAAAATATTCATTATCAGCATATTTTGTTGTGTTTTTTAAAAAAGGTAAGTGTACTGCAGAAGCTCATAGAAAAATTTGCAGTGTTTATGGGGATGATGCCTTAACCAAATGCACCTGTCAAAATTGGTTTGCCAAATTTCATTCAGGAAATTTTGACGTCGATGATGGTCAATGGTCTGTTCGCCCACATGAAATTGAAACGAGCAATGTTAAGGCCATTGTTGATCAAAATCCCACCCAATTAGTACGACAGATTGCCGTGGTCTTAGTGTCGCGCACAAGCGTAGAAAACCATTTGCACAAGCTCGGCTATGTTTCCAGGCTTGATGTTTGGGTCACCCACATGATTTTTTTTGTTATGACTTAAGCTATCTACAAGAAATTTAGCAGGAATTTAGGGTCACATAAACTAAACAAAATGACATCATCATGACCTTAAAATTTATGATAAATGTATAAAACAATAATAATAAGGCTTAGCAAACCCAATAGTTCAATGCAAATAACACCAATCAGTGTCTACATTCTTCCATCTACCAGTGTTTATGCCCAAAATGGTTTGAATTTCCCACTTTACGGCGAGTGGTGGGGGAAGATCAAAAAGATGACACTTAAGCCTCAAGAGCTGCTGATTTCCTCGGCCCACTTCTCTTCCGGCAGCCACCCTAATCATACCACCATACCTGAGGGCCCTCCAGGTAACCCCAAAAGATGTAAGCTGGCATAAAGACGGTAAGCTATTGTTTGCACAATCCATTAAGATACAGTCTGCTGCTTAAAATTAGAATGTTGCCTTATTGAAACTCATGAGAGTTATTTGTCTTAATTAGAAAAGTTGCCTAAACAACCAGGCATCATCCAAACTCATCATCGCCGAATCAGCTTTGATACAACCTTGCTACCTTCGCTTCAGTTTACCCCTCAGACATTTATCATTCGGCACAGCACATATTATTTTATTACGAAGCCCAACAAATTATATTAACTGGGTATGCTTCACATAATTCAGTATTGTGTAACCACCTAAATTCACAAGTTGACTCATCCTTCTTTGGTACAAATATTCTATGGATTATTTTATTTTCAAAACTCTCAAGACGTTGCTCATCCTTTATTATAAACATTTCGCATCCATAGAGTACCGTAGGAAGGATAATGGTTTGGTAAATTCTAATTTTTAAATTGTGGGACAACAGCCACGAGAGCCTAGTAGTTTCGCAACTAAAAAATAACAAGCATTTTCTGGCTTTAATCTAGCCTTAAATTCCTCTTCAATTTCGTTTTTTTTTTTTTTCACACTATGATGTATAAAAATATTAATATAAATTACTTTCGATTTTGTCCATTCTTTAAAATATCAATTATGTAAAAATATAAATATTAATTATAAGAAGATAAACATTTTTTGTGGATTTCTAATATTCTTTTCTTAATATTTTAATTTTTTTGGAATGGGGAGAGAGAAAAAGGATTAAGTTTTAAATTATTCAATGTTCTTGCTATTGTAGATGCACTATTTATATTCCATTAGTTAAAATAATCTAGACTGTAGGAAATTACAAAATATGTATTTACTTTTTTTTTTCCAATTTATTGAAACGTGTAACCAAAAATATTAAGGGTGGGGTATATTCAGAGATAATACTTTTTATTAATGTCTGTTTTTTTAAATATAATCTATGGGAGAATAAATCACTACCTGTAGTTAAAAAACAAAACTAGTAGTTGGATTTCACTCCACTGTTCCAGTTAGATTTCTTGTTAGTGGCCACTTTCAAACATCAAATCTTAAAGCCTTTTAGTAAGAACATAATTAGTAAATTATGACTGGAAGGATTTCAGAGGAAGTATTATTTTCCATAGAGACCACAACTTAGTCAACATAAAAATATACTTTGTATTTCACATAACAATTTTTATGATACATGTCTTCTATAATTATAACGTTAATTTAACGATACAGCTTTTTAAAGCAAGCATAAAAAATAAATAAATAGAACTAAACAACAATAAAAGATGTAGCTCGCACTGCAGAAATACTTTATCACAGAGAGAGAACGGTGATCAAGTATATAAAGGAAATTGGCTTAATGCATAAAAACTAAATTAGAAAAATAGTTTTTATTTACACCAGTAATAAATATTTGTAAAATTGACTACGGTAACACATTACGAAGGAGGTTTTATTTTGATAACTTTTATGCTAGGTTGTCCGTATCTTTTTTCAGCCTCTCTGAAGAAAGCACTTTCCATCTGGCGAACAAGCTCGTTGAAAAACATATGAGCCAGCTGAGAATGCAACAGAGATTTGAATTCAAACGAAACATAAAAGTCTATAAGACAGGATCTAGGCTCCTGCTTTAATCCCGGATTGAACCTCCAAGTTGTGACGAGGTGGTCAAAGAGGCGGCCGTCCGTGCACACAGCTTGTACTAGTCTTGGTCTCACTAGAGTCACTCTCGATGTATAGCTCTCCAAAATAGGAGGGAATCCAATCTCCAGCTCTCCAGAGAGTTGTTCAGGTTTGCGGATATGAACGACTGACTTGGTACAGAAAGGTACGAAATCCCTGTAATTTTCCACATCTTGAACTACTGAATAGATCTCCTCCATAGTGAACCTATAAAAAAAAAATGAAGTGTTAATAACAATAAAAGGTTTAGTGAAGTCGAATGTTTGATGCCCTATATTACCAAACTACATCCTTCCATCCACCAATTACTGATCCGTTCCTGTGTCTACACCTTACAGAACTAAATCAGCATACGTAAATAAGGATACTTAACACCCAGATTTAAAAATTTTTCACTAAATCGCCTTTATAATGGCTTATTTCTAGTTCTAAATGAATGAATGAAAAAATACAGTATTTTGTATTATCTATAATTTCAGAAGGTCAGACTCCATCAATAACATTATGACATAAAGAAAATTAAACTATAAATAAGTATAGAAATTAATCTAATATTTTTTTTTATCATCAAATAAATAAATAAAATATAATTAAAAAAGACAACTGTAGAAAAATATAAATAATGAGGAGAAGAATAGTTGGGGTGGTCAGTCAAAAAGGAAGGCAAAAAATAAATGATAATATTTATTTTTTACATATGCCGACGTTTCGACCTGAAGTTCAGGCCTTCATCAGGGCTAAGAAAATAACTAGATAAGAAGGTATGAGAAACGTAAGTAGTGATGGTAAAAAAAAAAATATATATATATTAAAAAATAAAAAAAATAAAAAATATATATATATATATAAAAATAATGACCACCCCAACTATTCTTCTCTTCATTATCCACGACAGTCAACCAATTACCAATTAAGTATAAATAATGAGAATTGCTTTACCAAATATTAAAATTAAAAACGTAATAATAAAATAAATAAATAGTAAAATATCTTTTTAAAAAATAGTAACAATTTTATGGCTTCCTATTTAGGCGGGAGAAATGAGAATATACAAATATGCAATAATACAGGAGAGCTTCTCAGTCAAAGATAATAGAATGGCTTGGTTAGGTAACCATAAACACTTATATTACATACATACTATGGACATAATAAATGAATTAATTTTAAGTCTTCCCACTATGAAATAAAATATGAGCAATTATGTAGTAGAATATCACCATTGAAGATAAATGTTCCTTTAAGCATAATATTTTATATTTAATCATAAGAACTTTATATTCATTAATCAAATTCTTGTACCATTCAATATTTGAATAAATTAAACAAAAAAACATTATTTGGGATGTCTGGGAGTCTATGCGAGGCATTATTTTCTTTTACATGTCTAATTTAATTTAGAACTAGAACTTCAGTTCTAGCTCTCTTATTGGCTCATCTTCAGAAAGTAACCCTTGACCCCAGAATCTTGAACTAGACTTCAGCCTCACAGCTGAAGATTCTGAGGTCAAGAGCTTCTTTCTAAAGATGGGCCACTAATGGAGCCAGATCTCCGTCAGAACTGAAATTCTAGCTCTAAATTAAATAGGACAGGTGAAAGAGAATTAACTTGTTTTAAACCTGAATGGATCTCAAACTGCACAAAAAAATAATCGCCAATTCTAACTTTTTACTAACTTCTTTGACAATCATAATATTATACAGTTCCTGATGGTTAATGGAATCATAAGTCTTTTTGGGAAAAATTTTAAGTTGATTAACAACAATGTTAGAAAACAGTTAATAGGCTTCATAACACGATAATTATTATTAATAAGTCAATTTTGTAACAGCCAACAGATAATGTATAATTGAATTATTCTGTATTACATCAATAAGAAACAAAAATAATCCTCGACATTGGTCTGAAAAAAATAAATAGGCACACCAAAATTATTATTAGATGGTTAACTCAATAAACAAATAAATATTTTGTTTTAGTTATCCCCTCCTCTAGCAACCCAGATAAAAATAACAACTCAAGGTTTATGATAAAAAAATTATCATAACTATAAGTTAATTCAAATCATATGAAATACAATAAAAATATTAAATAATAATTATAATTTATTTAAATAATTAATTTATGATGATAATCTAAAATAGAATGTTTATTCATCTTACAATGAAGCAACACACGCCCACTAAAGTAGCAATACTAAATTTTATCTTCAATACAAAAAAATTATATAAAAATAATAATAAAACTATAAGAGTAATTTAAAAAAAACCATCCATATTATCTGCGGAACTAAAACTTTAAGAAAATAACTTACCCAACAACTTTCCGAGCACTGTATTCTTTCTTCTTGCTTGAAACACCAGGTAGAGTGAAAAAGCTTGACACATTTTTCTTATTTATATAAGGTTTCGAGGATATCCTTTGAATGAGACTAGAGGAGTTTCTGTAATGATAGAAGGAGATCAAAAGACAATAAAGAGAGAATTAATTATAATTATATTATTGAACACAGATTTACCCAAGTTGTAAGATATCACAAGAAGAGCCAGAAATGGTGTGAAAATGACAGAATTTCCAGTGTGTTGTGTAGACAGTTCTTAGATTACTCACTGTCAGTCTTCCATGACAAAACATGTCTTTACTAAAATAGAAAAACAGCTGAGCTCGAGGTTATCGAAAACGAGAGCCGCCTCTACGCCTTAGTTCGAAAATAGTCTTTCTGATCATTGGTGCTTAAGGCAGATAATTTCGAAAGAACAGCCTGTTATCTTTGGAATACATTGCGCTACCATGTTCTTTATAACCTAACACTTCAATCTATAACCATAACCGTGTTCCAGGGAGGTACGATCCAAGTAGTTAAATTGCTTTTAATCGTGACGCATGGAGTATTATTAGACAGACATGTCTGCATTATTAAAGATGGCACACTTCTAATAGAACTCTTGAATTACTCAATGATGAGTCTAGCATCTTCCCGATCTTGTTCCTATAAACATCACCGGTTGCTACGGACTGTTGAATTTCCAGCGGCCACAAGCTGCTAGCTATCATAATTTATAAATAATCAAAAAATCTGTAGTCAAGGTCAAAAGCGATTAATATTGTTTTTAATTGCAAAATTACTCACTTTGTTAACACATGGCTTCGGTACTGAATGTCCTTTGCATGGTGCCACGTGCGGATTGGTAGGAAAGGGAGAAGCCAAAAAATATATGATCGGATGTGAGTTCATAGAGTGGAAAATGTTTCGGCCATAACTTTAAGGAACAAGTCTCCAGGCAATCCCAAGGAAAAGCAATTGCAAACGTTGAGGATAACAGCCTTTGGTCCTTGGGAATAATAGTTGAGGAGAAGCAGCCCTCTTTAAATAGTCGTCCTAGAAGTATATTTTAATTTGGTCTTTGACATCTCCTAATTTGATGTAGTAGATACATTATTATAATAAAATATACTAATCTATAGAATAGTAAAGAAGATATTCCCCTCGAGGCTAGTAATTTTTTTTCTAGTTGATCCAGCTAGCTCTTATCTCAACCAGTAGGCTAGAACTATACTAGTACAAATACGTATTAAGAGACTCTATAAAGACGATAAAACAATTTGTAGATAACAATTTGAGGAATGCCATGAAATAGAGGCGGGATATATACGCTGACAGAGAGCATATTCCTCCAGGTAATGAGCAGAGAGAATTACCCACATTATAGAGAATTCGTATAAGGGTGGAAAGATGCTGTAGACCCTACACATTTTAATCTGGGAAGAAGAGAAGGAAGTTAAGAAAAGCTGCAGCTGTTTCGAGGACTGGCTTCAAGTGGAAGAATGGATTAAAAGAAAAGTGGGGGCTTGTGCACACAAAGTCTACACCTCATATATAATAATGTTAACAACATTTTAATTTAATAATGCCAGCAGTGGCATACGCATAATGCTGCTACAACCCGTATTGCTCGTAAGGTAAGGCTGGGAGAAAAAAAAAATAAATAAAAAAAAACTGCAAGTTTTCGTTCCGCTGCCGGGGAGAAAAAACAATGGTCTGATCAAGGTCTCTACAATCTTTCTGACCTATGGTTGCATATTTGTCTCGTGAGAAAATAGTTCTTGATCTGCCTCATTAAGCCAGAATAGAATAGAATCTTGATCAGATCTTGTCTTTTTATATTTCAACTAACCAAGATTTAAACTAACAACCCGCAAGATAATACCCAAGCGAAACTATACTTTGATTGGTATCTTTTGAAAGACAATAAATTTGTGACTCAGGAATCTGGGACTTGCAAGTTAACAAGATTGGAAAGTGGTCTGGATGAGCACATAAAATAATACCATCACATATGAAAAATTCTAAAGTTTTGCAAGATGTGTAGATTGAACGACGACAATCTCATGGCTATTAAATCTCGGAGATGTTTTATTGAAGAAAACGACGAATCACTCAAAACATGACCTTTTTCTTAAAACCAAAACTTAATCAGTTCATTGGGTTATTGAGGAATATCCTCAATACTATTTTATATGACTTCAAGATGGACGTAAACGTCACTGAATGGGCGATGATACCAAAATCTCGGAGACACTTATGTTGTTACCTCTGGCATGGCACTCGAAACTCGTCCTTAATTGAAATATCCTATTGAAAAATAGTCAGATAGGAAATGAACAGTTGATGTGTAAAAAATAACTCTTACGAGTTGCAGAAGAGTCGTGTGGGATTCTTGAGCCACAAGAAGCGCAAGGAAATAGTTATACCCCTAACTTATTCATTAATTTTTTGGTATACTTTTGTATTAGTTTATTTTGTAGTTGTTTATTTTTGTATTAGAGGTTGAATGATCTAAATCCAACATCAAGGGATATAACTTTACTATGATTTACATCAAATCTCAAGATCCAAATAAAAACACATGTTAGGCTTGACCCTGTTAACAATAAAATGTCTGTACAATAAAACCTAATTAACGATATTATTTAGTAAATTACAGCACCCTTTTGACTTAAGATTTATTATATTTCAACATATTTAGAACTATATGTGTATACTTGTGCTATATGTATACTTCGGATGATGCAAATATGACCAAAAGGTCATCTTTTGCAAGGACGAGAATAGTGGATGGAACCAATAAGACCTCTAAAATAACAGATGTACTTTAATATCTTTTATTATTAACTTTATTAACTACGAATCTAACCTTATACATAATAGCTTAGTTTAAATTGCTCGGTGGCCCAAATTTTTTATAGACATTAAACTTTCTAGCTCTCATAGGATTGTCTAGTCTCTTTGGTCTATGAAATCGTTAGATTAAAGGCTCACTATCTAATGATAGTTGTCAAAGGTGGGTTTGATGGAGTAGTGCTCATGGGTTTGTTCGATAGGGTTTGTTTGGTTGAGCAACTCTCGCACCAGTAATATAGTTTTGTTGACTAGTCATTTATTAATTAAAATGAAGTTCCAGTTAGGATTCGTGTGCGTTTCTTTTTTATTTTTATTGTTATTCCTCGCCGGGGTATTTAATTTTCTAACTACTTCTGAGCCACATAGATGTAATATGACTTTTATGTATGAATATCCCCAACTTGTGGTAAGTATTATTGACTAGTTTTTATATTTTTGACTATAATTATGAAGACTTATTCTATATATTGTATAGAGAGTGGCACTCCCTCCTGGAACAAATAATTATAAGAAGTATGGTCTGTACGTTTATGGGGAAGGCAGAATTATACATAAAGTTAGGGAAATGAAGTTTGATGGTGTGCCCATTTTATTCATTCCTGGCAACCGTGGTTCTCCGAAGCAAGGTATTTAAATAATAAACAATTAATTCATTATCTGGTCTCCTATGCAATATTTTTGTTACTAATACTTTTATGACAGTTCGATCATTGGCTTCTGTAAGCCTCAGTAAAGGCAGATATTCCGGCATTCCTGTACACTTTGATTATTTTGCTGTGGATTTGAGTGAAGATTTTTCTGCACTCTATGGTGGATTTCTGAAGGAACAAACACAATTTGTTAATGTGTGTATTCAGAAGATCTTGAGTCTTTATCGGACCGATTATAAACCAAAGTCCATCATCGTTATTGGTCATTCTATGGTAAGAATATGATGTCATATTATTTCATCTCATATTGCTTCTTGAATGTATTTTATGTTTATGAAATGTTTCAGGGTGGCATGATAGCAAAAGGGCTCTTTTTAGAATCCAATGGCAATCCTGGTGTTGAACTTATCATAACTCTTGCTACACCTCATCAGCCGGCATTGCTTACAGATTCTCTTTTATCTTCCTACTACACTTCTGTGAATAACTTCTGGGATAAATTTAATACTACAGAAAATAATGTTAATTTAATTTCGATTGGAGGCGGTCCGAGGGACAAGCTTGTAAGATCTGATTTGACGATCACGGAACATGCTGACTTCAGTGTCATGGTTTGTATCTATTCCATTTATATGTATGTAACTGGTTAAATTGTGTACTAAGATTTTAAAGAAAATTTCTGCTTAGATATGGATAATTTTTTTTTCTTTCTGAAAATAGTAGATTCTATTAATAGTGGTTGAATAATTTTGGGTTTGAGCTCATTCCTATTTTGAAATTTGTCAATCATTTTTGCATGAATCTTTATTTGATATTATTTCTTCATTTTTTTAATATTTATGGAATATACTATCTTAATAAAATATATCAAATTATATTGTTTGTGTATAATTAAACAATTTAAATTATCCTATCAAATTGATGTAGTTTATTATATTTTTAAAAGAAAAATAATTTAGGAAAATATTTTAAACTGAAAATTCTGATTTTTTTCATTTTATGATTAAAAAAAAAAACAGTAAAAATATATTTTCTAGAAAATATTGAATGTTGAATCTATTTCCTCTAAATGAAACCAGATCCAATTTGAGTTATGGGACTATTTTACATAATTATCGTGTCATGTTTAGTAACAATTACAGTCATTATTTAGAAATCATACGTTATTAAAGAATAAATGTTTCATTGAAAATTAATATTAAATAATAGTTAAACAAAAAAATGGGTTAACTTTGAGAATAACAAATATTCTTAATATTTAACTTAAGTTACACCCACACAGCTTTAACATTTTTATGCCCTTCATTTGTGAAGAAAGAAAGTTATTTAAATTTAAGAAGTTAATTTTTTTTTTTTTAATTTCACTCCTTCAATAAAACAATACATTTTAATTTAGATTTTAACCTCATTAGTACAATCATAATAATTTATCAAATCATGTGTATTTGACAAATCTATAACAGTTATAAATAATTAATAAAAAAGTAATTGGCGATACTTAAGGTAAAAAGACCCTATGTTACTTTTTCATATAATAAATCAAATAACAGTAACAGCTCCATTATTTATTATTATGGTTATCGATATAATAAATAATAGTAGCTAAAATAAAATAAGTGATTATATAAAGACAAATTAATTAATAGATGTATGAAATCAATTAAGTAATTTTTATTTGAGTTAATTAATATAAAATAATTTTTAAATTAATGATAATTAACTTTGTTTTAATTCTATTTATGTGAACATAATGTTTAACGTTGTTTGGAATTGGTTAAAATATATAATTTTGTTATTTTCAGACTCCTATGATTCCGGGAGTGTGGACTTCTGTCGATCATCTGAGCATACTTTGGTGTAATCAGCTGGTTTTAGTTATTGTGAGGGCATTATTTGATTCCGTTGATTTGAATAATAAACAACTCAGCACTGATAGAAATCTTAGGAAGAATATATTCTCCTACCATCTCCTGAACGTATGTATAAGGTTTGGTTTTATTTTTATTGCTGATCTAGAAAATAATTATTTCATTTAGTATTAACGGGAAGTTATCATATTTGTTATAACTACCTGTGATAATTTAAATTTAGGAGTGAATTTAAGTTTGGGGGCAGGATTCAGTTATCAATTCAAATTCTAAGAAACCTTGAATTGAGGATATGGTCGCCAAGTGTGTTAAGGCATTATTGTGGTAACGCTGAAAATTGATGTAGTGCTGTCCCCCACTTCTTTTCTCATGAGTTTTTATGTTTTTATTCTTATAAATTTCTTACTTGAATATATTTTTAAAAAGTTTTAGTATCATTGGAATTTTTATTGTTAATAGTTTTTAAGTTCTTTTGAAACTAGAACTTTTCCTTTACAACTTTTCAAGTAAAGGTTTTACAGAACTTTTATTTTTGAAAAATTTTTATTTAAAAGTCATGTCAATTTCGCTAAAAAGTATATCTGAAAAATGACTTTTATTCATAACTACTCAAACAAACAACACATCAGAATCATGTTTAATTCATTTAAGAGACTTTTTTAAAGAAACTGAATAGATAAAAGGTATACTTTTACCATATATCTGGAACTATTATCGCAAAAAAGTTCCATGAAAAATCTGAAAAGTTCTAAGGAAAATTTGAAAATTCATGCAAGGATCCAATATAACAAATCAGGATTATTATTTATATATTTTTTCAGCTGTACTTATTGAATAACAAATTCTAATATTTCTGCAGTTGAAACCAATACTCACTTTTGTATTTATATCTCATAATAGTATCAAATTTAATTATTATATTATTTATTATATTTTATATCGTAGAATATAAATAATTTATTGTCAAAATATCTGTAGAGAGGAGGTGGTAAGAGTTTCCACTCGTCTCAGTACCCTGAGGAGTTGAGCTTGGTCTCCCCGCCAGGAGGAAGGTGGATAGAAATGGTTGGAAACAGCATGGTTTGGAAGAAAAATAAAGGTGTCGACCATGCCACTCATATTATCATCTCATTGGCCACGCCCTTCGATACCCTGGCCGTTGAAGCCGTCAACCAAAAGACCAGGGATTGGATCTTTGCCTGTGCTGTACCGTCAGCTGTGGATGGTGTAAAAATATGGTAAGCGGTGAATAATTTTAATTTTTTTCTTCTTTTTTTGAGTTTCTTGATTTTATTATATATATAGGAATAAACATGTTCCTCTAAAATCGCTTGTAATTCAAATGTATTAGGATAAGTAAGTGAGAGTTCTTGCATACTAGTTATATTTTAATTTAATATTAGAAATTTAAAAGGAAACATTAATTATTGTCCATTTTTTTAGCAAAAAAGGAATCAACTTATCATCGAAGGGAAAGATATCGCCACCTCGAGATAAGCTGAAGAGGAAGTCGGCCACCATCTGTCTTTCACAACTCCGCCGGCAGGACTTCACTCACGTTGTGATTCGCACCCTTCCTACTTGGGAGAAAGTTAATATTTTTTTTTATATTGATGTTCTCCATTTTCTTGAAATATGTCTTTATTTTGAAAAATCAAAATACAGGCAGTTGTCTGTATGTTGTATATGGTACATACACTTTAAACATATCTATTAAAAACCATTGGCCATGTTACAATGTGATCTGGTCATTTTTCCTATTAATCTAAATTTCCTATTAATATTCTAGTCTCTTAGAGATTTATATATCTATATATAGGGTATCTCGTAAGTAGAGGGAAATATTTATAAGGCTGGCAGTTTACAAAATAGTTCATATTAACAATTGCCCAATTTCCAGCCGTAAAGTAGGAAATTTAAGAATTGTGTTTTTTTAAGCGAATCACATTTTTTGTTAAATAGGAAGTGATGACTAAAAAAAATTTGATTAAAGTAATTAAACATTGTTCCATAGTAAACTTGATGACATTTTCTTCAAACGAAAGTGGAGTTTATCATTATTAAAACTATTTAACAAGAACCATTGAGCGGACAAACACAGCTAAGTTCCATTTAAAAAAAAAGTCATAAATTATTTGTGATTTTTTTTTATCACCCTTCAAATGTACTATATTTATCCTACGTTTAGAAAAACTTCCTTGTTTAATAAGCTCTAAGTCCATATTAATTAAGGTGAGGTTTATTAGGAAATTTTGAGATTCGCCTCAAGTTGTGTAAAGAAATCATGTGATTTTCTATCGAGTCAGCTAAAAGTACCCATGTTTTCAGCGAAAATTATTACAATTAATAGTTGCAAAGCTTATCTTTCTTGATTTTCCGTTATATGGAATTGGAATTGGAATCTTCATGTAAGGTGGTTATGAAATTGTGTTTTTCTCTAAGATTAACCCCACTTTTAGAACAAAATTCCTCATATTATAAGCTTTAAGTACCTCTCCTGGAACAATCATATTTCCCAAATTATCCGAAAATCTATAGCTATCCTAAAACAGTTCCTGAGATTCCGTGATTCTATGCCTCTAAAGACCCATGAGCTCCTAGTTTCCTCACTTCGATTATGGCTGCCTTCTATACGGTGGACGGTCTGGAAGGCTTGAGATCAGATTGAGAAGACTGATGAATTGCTTCATTCGATTCATCTTTGCAGTCCCTAGGCACTCCCCTCCTACGTCTCCAGTTAGTATGTCGAGTTGAAGTGGCTCTATCCAGTTTTCCAACGGCAATATCTCCTAGGTGTTTTCCTTTACTGAACCTTTACAGCCGAAAAATCCGCTTACCTTCTTGATCTGTTTACTCCTTGCTCCTCGGTCCATCAGGTTCAACACGAGATCCCATCCCACAAAATTTTTTATTTCTTCTCATAGAACTGTTTCCTTTAAAAAATCCTTTCTAATGTGTGCTATCTTGTTCTGGAATTCCCTACCCTCTGAGGATATCGACCCGCTTGAGGTTATATATATAATATTTTTCAGACGTGCAATGATTTGTTAAATATTTAATTAATTTGTTATGACTAACATCACTAAAATAAGCACATAGTTCACACAGAGAGTGAATAACTTATAAATGGAAAAATCCAAATTATACACAATGTTGCTGATATATTATAATTTATTTTTTACAATCATTTATTGAGAATTATTACATTATAATTAACTCTAATGTCACTATTTTTTAATTATGAAAGTATGATGGTGTGTGTAAACTCTTACAACGAAATTAAGCATTGTGTTCTATACTTTTTCTGAGAGAAAAAAAATGAAGGAAATATAATTTATATAATATAATATGATGTTAAAGGTTCTTTGCCTTGAAACATTAGAAAAAGAAATAAAATAGGACTGTTGTAATCAAATTGAGATTTTATATTATTAATAATTTATAAATTAATTTTCCTATGAAAATTATAAATATCAATGCATTAAAAAATATCAAATTGAATTGTCTTCATGTAAGAAATATGCTCAATATATCTTGTAGTAAGGAGAGAGAACCTATCAGTTGATTAATTAAGGTGGTGAATTAATAAAAATATATTTTGTAATTAATATAAGAAGAAATATTAAATAATGAATAATTCATTCACAGATTAAAACTACTCATGAATAACACAAGTTTATAATTTCTATCTTTACAGGTCGCTATATATTTAGACTTATTTAAAAAGCGTGACAGATCAGTAATGGGGACGACGTTTCTCAATTTTAGAAACGTCATAATTCCGGAAACTGAAAATAATGCTTCATACTATTCAGTAAAGCTACCCGACATGTCACGTTTCTGGCATGGTTACAGGCTGTTTGTCGAGCCGATGAAAGGATGTAGTTCATCGACCTTTGGGAGAGCAACAATCCAGGTTCCATGGAGCCATGAAGGTTCAACTAAAGTTCTAAGGTGAGTTCGACTTCGTTTTAATTATTCTTATGCCTGATAGGATAGACTTATGATTTAGTGGGTCGCCATGGACTGCTATACGCTATTGTTCATAACGTGAACACAGATAATTCTGATACTGATAATATCTACGTTCTTATTCATATTTATGGAAATTTAAATAGACAAAAAGAAATGTAATAATAACAAAACACTTATTTTACAACATTCTATTTATTTTGGAAGACAAAATAACTTAATGCTATTTAAAATAGAGAGGAAGGGACCCTTTTCTCTGTGGATCCACCACCACAAAAATTCACAGAAATATGAATTGAAGTGTTGCCTTGCAATTCCTCGGTGTTTTTTATTCCTCCACTTAGCTGAGCCACATAATCATATGAAAAAAAAAACAGTATAAATGAAAAAAAATAAAATATTTTAATTACATATAATTTTCTATTGGAATTTTAACATGTAGGGGCCTGGCTTTTCTCGCCTTTAATCTCCAAAGAGATAAATATAGAAAATATGAGGTACTTCCCCGTTATTTTATCTGGCCATAGTAAAACATTTATGCTACCATGCTTGTTCAGGTGAAGGGATTCGGTTGGATTTTATAAAGCAGCAAAAAAAAAGGGTATTTCAAGTAACTGATCTATTTACAAAAAGAAATATTTACAGAATTAATGCTATGTGCAAGCAAAAGAAATAAAAAAAAAGAAGAGAAAATTTAAACATAATTACTATGTACAATATAAAGATACAAAAAAAAAGGTACTTATTCTATTACTATGTACTATGGTATGGCATGCCACATCTAATCATAACAGAAAACGATAGTCCAGAGCATATGCACCTGCTAAATCTAGAAATTGAATCAGTCCCAAGAAAAACAAAAGAAGAAGTGTTATATATTTTTCAAGGCTTCCTTAATCTTGGTTACAATCATTCTGTGTTGAGAACGGAGTCCACTTGAAAGATCGTCAAAGTTGAACTGGTGGTTCATCTGGATTTATTGTAGTTGGCTTCATTTAGTTGTTGGTGTTGGGTGTTATATCCTTTCCAATCATGAGAAACAGAATTTATAGTGTTTCTCTCTTCTATATTATTTTTAATACACTCTAATATGAGTTTGCGCATGGAGCACCGAATTTCTGTCACAGACATCAGTAGTCAAAACCCTACAATATAAAAAAAGAAGCAACAAAATCGGTTGAGTAGCTCCCGAGAAAATCTTGGTACAGACAGACAGACCAATGGCTAAAAATGTGTTTTTCAGACTCAGGGGGCTCTGAAACGTATAAATCCGTCGAAAACCGCATGTCGGAAATTTGACCCGATTGCAATACTTTCCTTACCTAGTATAGGTAGCGAAGTAATAATAGTGACTCCAATAATCATTTCTTCTGATGGACTGATATTTCCTCATGAATATCTCCCCTATTTTCTCTTTTAAGTCTTCAGAATATTGCACGTACGTAACTAGACACAGCTATCACCTCTAGCTGTTACCTGTTGAAACTTGCATACTGTCCTACAAGTCACCCTGTTTGCGTAAATTATTGGTGTGGCATAATTTCATACATTCTCCACCATTCGTCTAAACTACATAGATGTTGCCAGACTAATATACTGTCCCTTACAATTACAACCATAACATTGATTTATTTATAATTTACTGATTAATATATATCATTAACAAATAACTTCCTTACAGTTGTAATTCCTTTTGTCAACAAAAAAAAAATGTCCCAAAACAGATTTGTAATAAAGATACTTATGATATATATTTATTCTTTATTTTGCAGTGAAAGCAGTAACAGTATTGAATTTACGCTCCAAACTGCAAAGACGGCAACTGAGAATAGTAGCGTCAGTGCTAATTTATTCTTAGATCCTCAGTGCAATTACAAAATCAGGTTTGTTGTCAGTAAATAATTTCAGTCAACTGTTATCTATTAGGGTCTTATTCTATTTCATGAACATTTTTATTGTATTTGATGAAATTATATTATTATATGGGTTATTTGTTTGAGTGTAGATTTTTGGCCAAAAAAATATATAATTGTTTGAGATTTTAATCTGTTACAACTAATCTAATAGTCCAGGAGCCTGTGACATATTTCATACTAAGGTTTGTCTTTATAAATTGACCATGCCAACAGGCCTGATGAGAAAAATGCACATCAACCACCATGTAGCCGCTGGAATACAGAATGTTGGCCAGTTGAAGATAGATAAGGACCGTATATAAGTAGAAAACTTATATATAGAGAGGGCATATAGATACAGAAAGCTACCACCCCTTTAAATTTATAGTATTTACTGTCTTAAGACATGAAATAATAGTTTGTTACTCCATACCCATGGATTTAAAGTCGAAACTTTGAATTAGCAACTCAAAAGTTCACTTTTTTTTAGATTTTTGCTTATATCAGTGAAATTATGCGTTCTAACAATAATAATGTTCCATGTAAAGTTGAAGTTGACATAACTTGCAACAGAAATCGTTATATTAATTTTTAACTACCAACCCTTTAAATTGTATTTACTGTCTTTAGACATGAAGTAGGTTTGTTACCCCATTTCCAAGGATTTAAAGTAGAAACTTTGAAATTGTGATTAAAAAAGTTCACTTTTTTTTTTGCTCATATCAGTGAAACTATGCGTTCTAGCAATAATAATGTGCCATGTAGAATTGAAGCTGACTAAATTTGCTACATAACTGCTCATATTAATTTTTGCTATTTTCTGTAGTTTCCTTGATATCCGTCCTCGTAGTTCACTAACTCAGTGTACAATATTGGGGGGCCCGGTACATGCCATATGACCGGGAGCCCTTTTCTTGTAAAATAAAAAAATGTAAATTTTGATTGGAAGGAATATTTGTGAATGATACAACTTTTGTTATGTTATTTCCCTTTTATTTTGTTCCAAATTAATCTCCCTGAAGGGGGGCATTAATTTTAATTTGTTAGTGTGTTAAACTATTTTTGGTCACATACCGTGTTTGCGGAGAGCTGGTCTCAGGTCCGTACTTGGTCTCTCTCCTGTGCTGTCGCTGTCCTCTGGGCACGTCTATGCCGTCTAGCTACTGTTGTGTAGCTGAAAGGGCTGTGTCTTCTCCATGGGCAGCTGTGAGCTGTTCCTTGGCAAAGTTGGCAGAGCAAGTGAGGGGTTCAGGATTGCCGTTGGCTGTTACTGATGAAGTCGTTTGATTAAGTGAGGACGAGGTCGGGTGCTTAGTCAAACACCTGGACTTCGCTCGTAGATGAGGTACCCTGTGCTCGAGAGGGAGTAGGACAGGATGGGACGAAATGGCCCCATGTTATTTATACAAAGCCATAACAAATATATGGTATGTAATACCAATATTAATTATAATAAAATTCATGGATGTTAAATCCAACACAGAAAAAATATTGTTTTTGTTTCACATTTTTATCATTATTCGATTCGCTAACTCTATCTAAAAAATGAATATAACCATTTCTGTTGCAAATTTTGTCAACTTTAACTTTACATGGAACATTATTATTGTTGGAATGCATAATTTCACTGATTCAAAGTTTCGACTTTGAATCCATGGGTATGGGGTATCAAACTATTATTTCATGTATTAAGACAGTAAATGCTATAAATTTAAAGGGTTGCTAGCTTTCTATATCTATATGCTCTCTCTCTCTCTGTCTAAGTTTTCTACTTATAGAGGGTTTATATATATTTTCACCTGGCCACCATTTTGTATGCTGGTGGACGTGCATTTTCTCATCAGACCAGTGGACATAGTCAATTTATATGGACAAACCTTAGTTTGAAATAAATCTTTTTTTCCACAGGCTCCCGAACTGTAATCAGTTCCTTTTTTTTTTTTTATAATAATTTTAATTCCTAAGATTAATTTAGGGAATATCACATTCTGAAAATTTCCATAAAAAAAAAAATCAATTTACTATGATTGTATTATCTTTATTGATTTTTTATATGTAGCGGAAGAAATTCAAAATTTTCTTTTAGATGTGGTTAAGAATAAAAAACAGTTATAAATAAGTGACCAAGTAACATTGATTTTTGTTGTTAACATTTTCTTTTAAAAATTTTTGATACCAGAAAAAACTTCACTAAAACAGTTTATTTTCATATATTTCAGCTATATTTTGATTTTAGAGTGAACACAATTATATTAATTATCTCTTGAAATACTATAAATAATTTTTAATAAAAGTTAAAAATAGAGTATCACATGTTAATAACTTGTCTTGAGAATAATTGAATAACAATGTTGTTTTTAAATATATCACATTGATTAGACTAATGTTATGTTTTGAATTACGATACGTATCGTTGGTTTGTTGCAAAAAGTCACTAATACTTTTTTGATATAAGTTAACTTTCAAATACATTTTTATGAATTTCGACTTAATTTATTGATACCTAAACACCGTAAATTCATGAAAATGATACAAACTCTTTTATATATCAAACATAGTTACAAGTGCACATTTTTCTAATTTCATAAAGAGAAAATTCTTAATTATTTAAGATTATGAAATGTCATTTAATTACTTTTTGCAATATACCGATGATACTAGAATAAATTAAATTTATATTGACTGAACTGATGAGACATTATATAACATGCCAATCATCAACACAGTTAATTTACAAAACTAGTAAAGGGGCAAGTTATTAAACTCAGTGCTGCACTCGTAGTGAATCCATCAAACCGTTTCTCAATTCATTGATGAAAACCATGGGTGGAATTCAGTGTGTTACTTTATGCAGCAATTAAATCACCAATGGTTTAGCGGTTCTATCGATTATTGAAGTAGATGTCACAGCTGTATTTAATCTCATTGTAACCTCAGTATTGTTGTTTCTCAATTTACTTAACATATCTATATTCAGTTTACTTTCTATATATTTTTATTTCTGTTTATATAATACTTCCTTACATATTTTGTAACTTTTCAGACATTTGCTGGAATCTAGCAGGTCGTTTCTAAACTCGCTATAAATCGCTGTTGATGCTGGGTTCAGTCATAGATGATTTCCTTAAATGTATTTAGCACTGAGTTTAGAACTTGTCCAAATTTAAACAAATATTTTAATTGCTTCCAGCTGTCAGAAAGTTATTGAATCAGTCTTAGTTATTTCAGAAAATACTCAAAATTTCGTAATTTTTTTTAAAGTGCATTTTTAACCCTTAAACGATTTTAATACTGGTAAATCTCTTTGACCAATACTTTCTAATTTCTTATAATGTATTGTTAATTTTATTACAGCTTGGAGAAGTCTTTGCTGCTTAGCCTAACGTCGGTGGTTATCCACAGTGGCCCATCGATCATCGCTCACGTCGCCTGCTGCCTACTGTTCTGTATAGGCTACCAGGCGAAGTGCCTCGGCGCGGAGAACGATTGCCCGCTGATACAGGTCGTCCTCCCGCTGGCTGCCAAGCCGTACTTCATCATCCAAGCTTCAGCCTTATTTGCCAGCATCCTTCAGTCAGTTTGATAAATTTTTATAATTTAATTCGGACTATTTATTTTATTTTATATTACTTGAGTAGACTCTTAACTCTATAGCTTAGGTGTGGAACCATGGCCTAGGAAGTCGCATATGGCCTCTGTGAGTTTTTCCAAATGTTTTTGTGCGATATTTATTAATCTATCTTGTAAATGACCAAATAAAAGTTAAATGTAAATAATTAGTTTTGGCGGGAATAGCGAATAGCCTTCCGCTTTTATATCGGGGAACTAGGTTATTTACACTCCTGAATATTGAAACAAAACCTCAGCACTGAATATAGACTTTTTGACGGTGTTTAACTGTTGTTGGGAATTCGGGAATCTAATACCTTTTTTGACATTGAGTGAGAAGAAACAATAAGAATATATATATGAAATGTGGGACTTAGTAAATACACTTTGAATGAATTGACTCACCTGGTTTGTTATTCTTCAGTTGTGAGGCATATGGGACAACTAAATAAAATTACTTTTCACTCCTGTATAATAGAACAATTTATTTTATAACTGTAATAAAGTAATGTATAAAAATCTTATAATTGTCGGCTTGATATTCTTAGTCTTCAATGTAGTAAGCCTCTCTTCCCAGATGACGTCTTCTCGTCTTCGTGTCCAGGCCTCAAGTTCCTCTTCTCTCCTCTCCCTGGCGTCTTTCTCCAGCTGCTGCTACCTGAACCGGAACATTTTCCTTCTTCATCGATTGTTTATCGATATGAGACTTTTCAATCAATTTGTCCACTGCACAATTGAGTACAATTCATCGTGCAACCTCACATTCCTATATATTATATATTCCTTCTCATTGCCTCACATAATGTCACATAAAGGAATAAATACAGAGGGCTGTCTACTACAATCTCTAGAGTTAATTATTTAAGTAACGACAACTTGGAAATTAATAGAATTAAGTTGAATGTTTGTATGCGGGTGTGTGTATTTAGTGATAAATATAAATAGCCAGGATAAAATTAACAATGACTAACCTTAACGCGTCCACTAATGATAAAATGGTTCCCCATAAATACTCTATAGCAATGGAGTTGGTTTTAATATATTGTTATATAAATTCTAACACTTAATTCAGTTTTTGAGGAAAATGAGTTAAATACCTACTTTAATTTGTTTTTCCACATCCATTCGAATGGTACCAATTCCAATGAGCTGTAGACTCAGAAAATAAGAGAATGGGGGGACTCAGTGACATCGGACACACGGGCTCTATTGGGAATCCGAAACCGGAGAGCTGCTACAGCTGATCGTATTGACTGGTGAAAGCATTTGGAGGAGGCCTAGTCTCTGTGACGGGATCATATGCCATCTACGTATGTAAATTTACTTGCAGAGGTAATAGAGAGAGTAGAAGTGCAAAAAAAACTTGCTGAAGTTTTGAGGAAATGTAGCATAACCTAATTCAAAATCTGCTACAACTAATCATTCTAGAAAAATTGTTGTCTTTAATATGTTTCCAAGATGTTAGAGGCTGAAATTGGCTATATAAATTATGAAAAAAAAGTCATTTCTAACGTATATTAAGTTTTTGTACTTCCTGAAAAGTTGGAAAGATAGAGTTTGGCAGTGTTAGAATTTGTATAATTATAGACATAAATAATATCATCATTTTTTATAATAACTATTATTATTAATAAACAAAAAAATATTCCATTGAGAAATTACACTAATTTATAAATATAAATGATATCAAGGTTTAGCAAAATAAAAATAAAGTAAACTATATACATAAATAAAAATTAATATCCCCCAAAAAATAAAATTTAAAAATAAAACACCTATAATGGGTGAGAATACTCTATAAACTGGCTGAAAAAATTAATTTCAAACTTTTAAGTTAATTTAAAACTTAATTTCTATGGGTGTAAAAAAAAAAAAAAGAAAATGTGGAACACTATTCTAACACATTTACACTATTATTATTATTCTAGTGTACTATTATTACACTATTCCAGTGCTCGAACCATGCCCTGATGATGACCCACATGTTTAGGTTGAAACGTTGGTACAAATAAAAAAAATTGTATAATGACTGCGTCCTGAATATTTATCACCCATGATATGTAGAACAGTCGACTAGCTTCATTCTATCATATTTAAAACCTTCCACTTCTAGACAAATGCTCCAGTTATTTTGATCACCAGCCTCATGCATCCCCTCTTCTCTCTCAGGCTTGCGTCTTTCTAGTCCTTCCTCCTGCCAGACACTGTTCCAAGCTCCTTTGTTCTACATTCCTTTGTCATTTGTTAATCAATCATCTATACATGCAAATTTAGCAATTTCTGTACAACTTGTTCGCTACACAATTGAGTCAAATTCATCGTGCACTCAATCCTTCCATCATTCCCTCACTCAATGTCGCTTAAGAATAAGCCATCTACTACATTAGTGTCGCTTGTTTTCAAATCACAATTTCTGTTATCAATTTAACTCTTGTGGATATTAATACAATTTTCTAAAAAAAAAACAAAAAACAACTTTTAATTCATATTTAATAATTTAGGAAATGTGCTGCAATGGAAATGAGTAGTCTTCTGTACTTGTCCGATATCATTTGTGATTATAGAAAAAAAAAATATTAAAAATGAATTTAATACTAAACAAAAATTATTAATAATTATGTTATTATTTTATGTTTTATTACAGAAGCCTTACTAAAGTGTTCCCGTTGCTACCGGATACCGACATCAAGATCCAGGCTGGGTTCGTCGAGCTCATAGTAGTGCCTTTTTTCTTGCACTTGACTGCTTTCTGTTTGACCTTCGTCATGGCGACGAGTGTTATTGTGACGGTGGTCGTTCAAGGCCAGGCTTTCAACGGCCTCTTCCTCAGGTTAGTATCAATAATAAAGTATAAACTTCATGAAGTACATTTATGCTAAAGGTGATTATTATTTATTAGGGATTCTTGAGACTAAAATAACACTTCAGTTAAAACTACTATTTAAAAAGATTTTCAGTACATTTCAGCTGATTCAAGAATTAGAGTTTAATAAACAAACATTTACATTTTTATTTTCCATAAAATGATCAATATAAAGTTGAACAGTAAACAATTCATTGATCAAACAATAAAAAGTAATAATAAAATTAAACATGAAAATATATGAGTGGCTTGATCGTTTTGTGGATCCTAATTTAAGATCTATTAGTGGAACCATTGTGAATATTATTATTTATATTATAAATAGTAATGTTTTAAATAAAATATATTTTTTAAAGGTTCTTGAAGAGGTATTCGCTAGGTATTAACTGGTTGTCAGAATTTATCCTCAATGGAGTGAGTAAGGTTCCGATAGTTGTGTCTGCGTTCATGGTCACCGTAGCCTTCTCTGCCTCGGGAGGCCTCGCCCTTTGTATAGGTCTCTTCTTTTACATCTTCAAGGTATCTCTTTTTAAATTATTAGTTATTTACAATCAGAAGTTTAACTTAGCCAATTATTTTAAGTTTGCCAATGCATGTTTTAAGTTTGGAATTAAAATCACTCTTATGAAGTATTAATTGTTATCTTTCTCGATTATATAAAAAAGGTTTTTCATAATGGTGTAGAAATGGCTGATCGTGATTATAAATTGCAAAAGAGTTAGTCGGGGGGTGCTATAAATACTCAATTATAAAAGATTTTATTCTACAAAATATAATGTACTATGTACCTTTTATTTTTTGTAGTCCTGATGAAGACCTACAAAATGGGTTGAAACATCAGCGTAACAAATAAAATACTATTTTTATATTATAGTATTTATATGACCGCACCTCCCGACCAACTCCTCATAAAAAAGTTTTTAGTGACTTTCATATTTTATTTTATTTTATTTTAGTATTAGAAGAGTAGGAGATTACAGGAGCTTTCCTATTAGCTCCATAATTAACACTAATTATATAGTTGTTGAATTGATTACATATATGTTTAGCTCCTGTGATCTCCTAATACCAAATAAAGATTGTAGACCAAAACTTTGTATGGAAAATGGTATTCTTCTAGAGGTGGTAGTTTGATTTTACCTAGGCGACAGCAGTTATTTTTTGGTCTAGTCATTTTCCCCTTGAATAAAATATATCAATTATTATATTGCATATAATATTATAATAGGATATAATTATAATTATTATGAAATAGAAAAGGAAGCACAATATATGAAAATATTAGAAATAAAAGGCTCAAATGGATGTTGGGCTTATATGAAGCTGGACAAATTGAATATATATTGTGGTTACAAATGGGCAATAAGAATAATTATAATGGTATAATAATATAAATTGGCAATAAGGCACAATATTTATATAATATAGATTTTTAAAGAAATTAAAAAATTATAAAATGTGAACTATAGAATACATGTAAATTACAGTTATATAGTTTGAGCTACGAGTAGTACAATTAAATGAACATTTGCATAATTTGTAAAATGGGGGTTGGTTCGCTCTTCAGCGGACAGGAGTCATCCCCCCCTAGTATTTTATACGTTGTTTTTAAATTAATATTTTTAATGTTGTAGTTAATTTCGCTGTATGAAGATTTTTGGGAAGAGATTGTATACTGGCCACTTCGCTATCTTAAATGGAGGATAAGGCAGATGAGGAACAATGACAGAGCTGAAGCTCGTCCGGAATTCGAGATACCGTCTCTCAACGAGATCAGTTTTCATCTTAGCCTGACTCTTCTTTGGCTCATCAACACGCTAATCAGTATCCCCAGCATTCTTGTCTGGGCAAAGAACTACAAGTAATAATATTTATTTATTTTTATTTGAGGCGAAGTTCTAGTTAGTTAATGAAATAATGTAGACTGTGTATAATTCTTTAGTAGGCTGTGTATAGTAATATTATTTATTAGAATAAGAATATTACTGAAAGATGTAAAAACAAAGCCTTACATCCTCATATCAAAACAAGTCCTTCTGGTGTACTCCATGTCTTACCATCCTCAACTGACTTACTTCCTCTTCTGCCGAGATAGATGGGGAGCTATTATTAAATTGATGGAATTTGAAGCTATTAAAAAAAAATGCTAATTTTTATTTACTTACTTATTTTATTTATTTTTTTTAAATTACATATTGCGTTATTATTTTGGGGTATTTTAACTCAATTTTGAATATTATGGGTGATAAATATGCAGGACGCATTCTTTTTTAAGTTTTTTATTTTATTTTTGCCAACATTTCAACCCAAATATGTGGGTCATCTTCAGGGCGTGGTTTGAGTACTGAGGGTGTTCAAGTACTCCAGTACTTGACCCACATGTTTAAGTTGAAACGTTGGCAAAAATAAAAAATTTTTAAAAAGACTGCGTCCTGAATATTTATCACCCATGATATGTAGAACAGTCGACTAACTTCCTTCAAGAATTTTGAATATTACATCGGTGTTTTGAGTATTGTTCCTCTTCACTTGCATTCAAAAGCTAGAGAAAAAAAAAGTAGTAGGGGTTGGCTTTTAAATTGTTTTACTTTCAGTTGTGCCGATGATGTCAAGTGAAATTATAACCCTAAGATTAACCTTCATGTAGACTCCTCATACTTATTAATGCTATTGAAAACTGCAAAAACATTTTTTTTTATTTTTACAAGAAAAACATAAAATTTATAAAGCATAATTGATCATTTATCTGCACGCAATTCTATTGCATCTTTGTTGATTTTATCTATCTATCTGCTTTTTGGCCTTCCACGTGGTCTTTTGCCTCCTATTGAGGCATTCATTGTTATGTAGAGGCTTCCAGAAGAATTGCTACGAGTTCCTTATCCTCCCATCTTAACCTCTGTGCCTCCATATAATGGGATATCAATTGACCAGTTTCTGTAAGTAGTTTTTTATTGGTCTTTCTTATCCATGTGTTAGTACTGTGATCCCAGATCGCTCCGGATATCGTGTGGAGGATTTTCCTCTCAAATCTTCCAACGCTTTTTTCTAGGGTGCTGGTTAGTGTCCAAGTCTCACAGCCATATATTAGAACTGGCTTTATCATAGCATTGTACCTCCCTAATTTGAGATTTTAATACCTTTGAAAGGGAGTAGAAAGCTCTGTTTGCATTTGTTATACACTGGTCTATTTCTGACAGTTGGTATTTCATTGAGTTTATTGTGGAGCCGAGGTATTTGAATTTTTCTACTCTCAGGAATGATTTTCCTTCTACGCAGATTCTGTTATTGGTGTAATTTTCGGCTTGTTATCATATATTTTGTTTTGTCTTCATTTACTTGTAGACCGATCTGCTTTGCCTCTCTTATCACATTTGTAGCGAGTTTCCCAATGTCCTGTTGATTACTTCTAAGGACAGCTATATCATCTGCGTATCCAAGGATTTTAGGATTTATTCCGACTTGGACCTTTCCATTTTTCTGTGATAGTCCATCTCCCTACCATAAGCCCGTTCGAACTTCAAAGGTTTCAGATGCTTCTCATTGTATTAGGACTCTACATTTAGGGTCATTTGTACACACCTTTGTCAATCTCACCAACTTACAGGAAACTCCCAATTCATTCATGATTTCCAAAGGCAGTTCCTGTCCACAGGATCATGTATGTCTGAGTATTTACTTGTAAATAAAAATAGCAACAATACAATGCAAACAATTGTTGCAGCCTCCGTTATCACTGCCTAATCTTAATGCGACTTCTGATGATAAAATGGTTCTCTTATGACAGTATATGATGTACGTTAAATCTTGAATGACAGTGAAATGGCTGTTAAAAAAAATTTAAATTTTTAAAAAGAATAAATTTCTTTTTAAAAATAAAGTATAAAGAATAAATAAATAAGAGGTGTTGCCAATGATCCTACAGGGTAGAGGCAACAAAATAAATTTAAAAAAAGGACATTTTCAGCCATTAATCTATCTGTGTTATGATTATCTCTTGAACGGCTGAACCCATTTTTTGCTCTTTTGTTTTTGTGCAATTTTAGTCTCCGGTGTCTGTGAATCCAGCAATCTTGTTACTTTCAATTACCTATATATGTTATAAATAGTAAGGGAAAGTATTGTGATCATGAAAGTTTTCAAATCCGAGTTTTCAAAGGAAATACATGTTTTGAGGCCTCTGAGTTGAAATAACCAAGTCCCACAAACTGGTTTGTGTTTGTGAGCATTCAAGCTCAAAAATGGTTAGTTATACGAAAGAAAGTAAAATTGCATATTTAAGGTTTATATATTCCTGGGATGTTACAGCAACTTTTTTCTGAAGATTGGCTTACCAGAAGTACCATTTTGTATCATCGACTTTATACATTTATACAATTTTCTCGAAAACAGCTCTAAAGACTTTGATTAAATTCATTATATCAGTCTATGCACCACTCCAGATTTTGTGTGATAGCGGCTGCGAAATATATAAAAAGCATAGTTGGGGTGATCAGTCAAATAAGAAGGCAAAAATAAGTGATACTATTTATTTTGACATTAGCCGACGTTTAGACTTGAAGTTCAGGCCATCATCAGGGCTAAGAAAAGAACCAGATAACAAGGTATGAGAAACATAAGTAGTGTAGATAAAAAAAATTAAAGTAAAATTCAGTTGTTAGAATAATGACAATAGTAAGAACAAGAGATAAATGATAATAAGCAGTTCAAAGTGTGGAATGATGAAGTAAACATAATGAAAAAAGTTGACATAAGTATTAAAATGGGATCTTAGAATAAAATGTAAAAACATATAACTTCATATTTTTTTGTTTTTACATTTTATTCTAAGATTCCATTTTAATACTTATGTAAACTTTTTTTTTTTCATTATGTTTACTTTATCATTCCACACTTTGTACTGCTTATTATCATTTATCTCTCTTTCTATTGTCATTATTCTAACAACTGAATTTTACTTTAATTTTTTTACCTACACTACTTATGTTTCTCATACCTTGTTATCTGGTTCTTTTCTTAGCCCTGATGATGGCCTGAACTTCAGGTCGAAACGTCGGCTAATGTCAAAATAAATGCTGTTTTTTTTTTTTTTTATAGACTAGCTCAAAAATGGCTCTAAAAATTTTGATGAAACTTCCTAAATTTTTTCTTATATTAAAAACATGATAAAAAGCAGGAAAAAAGTTATGACCAAAAGAATATAAATTCTTAACTACTGTGCAATAATGATTTTACCTATATTTATTGGGATTTGATTATTTGTAAAATTTGATTTTTAAGGAGCAATAATAATTTAGTAATGAGACGTATTGTAATAGTACAAATTATAAGGTTTCCGGTAAAAATTGTAATTTTAAATCATTTAATTTATAAATTACTCATAACATTAGTGAATAAATTGTTATATTTATTGTTGTTATTCATCAAAAGAAGTCATATCAGTGGACCTATTGGAAATTTAACTTGGAAAATTTCTTTTATTTTATTGTAATTTGTTGATTTTATGTTGATATTCTTATAATTGATATTTTTTTTTATTTCGTTTCAGGTACAATAATCATTTAGAACCAGACCCCTATTTCTATTGTGCTGTCGTCATGTCTCTTTGCGTGGGCTACCTCTGGCAGTCAGAAGTTCCGAAAGGTGGGCTGTAAGTAGGCATCATTAATACTAAGTTAAACTTTTTTTTTTTAATTTAAAGAATTAATTTTTACATCTTATACTCTGAATGTTCTTGGCATTTAGAAAATGGGGTAGACAATTAGGCTATGCTCTCATCGGACTCGGACTTATGGTTATGATCTATGGGCAAACTAGCCTCTACAGGATTCCTTACTTCTTGTGTACTGCGTTCCTCCTGATCACCATACATCAGGCAGTTGTTCCCTTCTTTTCCGGAGAGGATGGCGATTCCACTGGACAAGCTGTAGGTAGCGAAACACTCCAAGAAGGTGAGTGGTCTATATATTTTTGTTAGAACTGGGTATATGGTTTGGGATTGTACTTTTTAAGTAATAAAGAAATGTCAGGTCTCAGAGATGTGGAGGAAAATGGAGGGTGTGGCCTCAATCCACTGTATCATGATGTATACGGCTGTCAAAGTGTCTCTCAGTTATATTTTATAAATTTTCAGTTTTTATAATCCAATAAAATACATTTTAAAACAATAATTTTATTCTTAAACTTTATTCTACTATTTACAGTTAATTAACTGATTATAATTATGCTGCCCAGTTCACCTCTCTTTGGCCAGTCCCCGTTGTAAATAACATTATATTCCTTCTTTTCAATGTGTCCTTGACCCATCTATCTAATTATCTGGAGCTAGTGTTGTAAAAGAGCTCAGTCAAAAGGCTATAAGGCTCAAGCTTTCTTGATTCGGCTAAGGTTGGAGTCTTAAGAGTCTGGCAGTAAAAGGCTCAAGTCACGGTTCGAGCCTTACTTGTTTTTCCTATCTATTTATTAAAGTGCTTTTTAATTTATTTTACAATTTTTATAATAGAGTTAATTGTTCTACATGATATTTGTTGGTTATATTACATCTTTGGCGATTAGTTGTGTTATTGTTTTAACTGAAACAAACTTTATTGTTTAGGTCAATCTTTCTTTTCTGTCCATCTCAATTATGTAATAGTATAAAAGTCGGTTTATTGCATGAAATCACTTATTACAATAATATAAAGTAAGGCTATGTATGTTATTTCATCACATTTGTTTTCATTTTACGTTGGCTATATTTCGGCTAGGATGCCATTATTAAGCCATGTGTAAGACTAAATTCACAATTAATTTCATACAATACTGGATACTCCTTAAATAGCCAGTCCCGTCAAAACCTCCCTTGTTATCTAATCTTATATCACATAACATCCCTTCTTATCTCCTCTAACCTAAGTTATTCCATTGTTTATTTGTTGTTATGAAATGAAGCTCGACGGGAAGACAAAATGGAGATGCTTTCATACTTGTAACAAAAACGTTTCTATAAGAAAAGGAACATGGTTAGATGGGTCGAGGATTTCTTTTTTAACGGCTTTAAAATTCATTTATGAGTGGTCCCATAATTTAACAATTCAGTGAGGGAAAGAGCAGCTGAAACTATCCGAGAGATGTTGGCATAGTATTATATTTTATATGTGCATATGTTGTTTAAGTGATTTTTTATTATTTCATTTATTTTTAAAAATCTTTTGCAAATGCACTAAACAGAAGGAGAGCTATGAGCTATAACTTTCTCGATATACTTCTCTATATCCTGCTTCAAAGTGAAGATAGTCCCGATGTGCACCTTCAGCAATTGAAAATGGTGGTTTTCACCATAATAAACCTAGATCGTCCACTTAATATCATCCAAACTGCAATTGACCCCCTTTTAGCAGCATCTTGAAATATTCTGTTCATATGTCTACTATACATTCATTTAGCTATATAACGGATACTGGTTCTTTTTATCTTTTCCGAGGTTTTGGCATTTCCTTTCTCGTTTGCTTAATGTATTTTTCCGATTTTCTGGTTCAATTTCGCGTTTTTCCTCATTTTGAGACCAAATCCAAACAATAAGTTCTGATTTATAGAAGAACTTATAGCATCACCCTTTCTATCTTTCTTTGTGCAGAGAGGAGTAATTCATTCAATATTAAAATTTCCTATTTATTTATGATATAGTCCAACTTCTGCACAAAATAAAGGAAATAAAAATTAATTTTTTTCATTAGTGATGTATGAGTTCTACTAAACAACCCGGTAGCTATTCATTATATATAGTTTAGATTAGGTATATATTATTTTAGTTTATGAAACAGGTATTAATATGACTCATTTCCTGGGAAGTACATAAAAATTTTAATTACCTCTAAGAATCAGTAAATATACAAAACACAGTGTTAAATTGCAAACGTTAAATAAAAAAAAAATCAAGATATTTAGCAAAGTATTTTTTAATTAAGTTTTATTATTATAATTATATCATTTTTACAATTGAGGTCTTCTTAAACAACCTATGTATAGAATAAAGGAGGTTAAATTAAAATATAATAATAATTAAAAAATTAAAAAATAATAATTTTTTTTTAAATTTAATTTTTTTTTTTACAATTAAATTATTGCATTAATATTTGTTCGTTAATAAAACCAATATAATGTACCAAAAATGTTATTATATCACTATAACTAAGCCATTTATGTGTACTGAATGGTGTGGTAGAGGCCTGTAGGCACCCACGCCAGTACCGCTTTTCTGCCGCATAAGTGCATTTTCTACGGAACTGCTTAAAATTTTTTAAAAAATAATCAGCGTTTTAGAAAGAGAAATATATTCTCCAGATGTTTTATTTCAGCACGTTTTGCGTTATTGTAGGCCGTTTAATTACAAACGACACTTGATTTGTAACTTGAAAATTGTTTTGTTAAAATATTGATTTTACTGGTGTTTTTCGTAGTCTAAGCCAATTATTTTTTAATATTTCTTCATGTTTCATGTTCAGCTTTAATAAAAGACCAACTATGAGGAAATTAAGCCAAATGATTGATCCTCAGTGATCAAAAAACTAACTAAAGTCAAAGTCCTCAATCCGCCATCTTTGGACGCCATTTTGGGGCAGTGCGTTCACTTTTTTTTGTAGTAACATTGGCTTTTTTTTAATAAATAGTTACAAGGAACACAACGATATGCAATTTATAGGGATGTGGGGGGAGGGTGCACGGTAAGGGGGTCTGGCCCACAGACTATGGCAGATAACAGTCGGACCCAACCGGCTATTTAAGGAGTACCCAATACTGCATTAAACATGCTATGATAGTGATGTTACTCATCTTTTAAAATCAACATTTTATAAATTATTACCTTATTTGAGTCAATATGTTAATTTACAAGTCAATTTAAGTGAAACAAAAGATAGAAAAAGATTATTCTATAAATAAAATTGCTTTGGATAATAAAAACCAAAGACTAATAGAAAGCTCTTTTATTATTAATACCAGTTCCATCTATTCTTAGTGCTGAAACATGTTCCAAGTTGAACTTAATCAAGTGTGTATACCTAGTTCTGCCATAAATAGTGTTTTAAAAGTTGAACTTTGTTTACATCCTTGTATTTTATTTAGATAATCCTTACCTCTATCAGGTTATTTTCTGTACATGTCAGAACAATAATCCCAATTAGTTTGTATTTTTCTTTCGCTCATTTAACATGAAGTGGGGTGATAAAGAATACCGAATAGCTGTGATCGCATTTCACAAAGTTGGAAAATGTAGGTCAGGGATTTTCAAAACTTTGAAACCTGTGGGTATCAGCCGTAGGTTCGTGTACCGCACTATAAGTAGATGTAATGAAGCCCTATCTGTATGTGACAGACCTCGAACGGGCACGCACTGTGAGAACGGCAAATGCTGTGAGAGCAGTGGCTGCTCGATTCAGAAGAAATACCATTCGAAAACAACAATTCATGGCTCGGAAAATGGGAATCTCTGTCAGATCAGTGTCTCGCATAATAAAAAGTGACCTTAGGATGGCTGCATTTCCAAAATTGAAAGGACAAAGGCTAACCACTTCCCTTAAAAAAACAAAATTAGAGTGGATAGATGCAAACTGCTCCTTGGCCATTATACCAATGGTCTTCATCAACAGAGTTTGTTTAGCGATGAGAAAATTTTTACAATTGAAAACAAATTTAATCGCCTAAATGATCGTGTGTACACACACAGCTCTAAAAAGCTCAGGAAGTCATTGGAAGAGTGGAAAGAGGTCATGGTGTGATGGGGAGTTTGCTGTGATGAAACCACAAAGCTCCATTTTTGTGAAAAAGGACTTAAAACAGCCCCTAAACTATCAAGACGATATTTTGAAACCTGATGGCAAGCTTGCAAATGATACTCAGTTTGCTGGAAGTCATTAGATTTTCCAGCAGGATTCTGCTCCAGCTCACAAGACCAGTTCAACTCAGCAGTGGCTGCAAAACAGTATTTCAGAGTTCATCTCTGCCTCGGATTAGCTCTCAGGAAGCCCTGATCTCAAATCATTAGATTATCAGACACCTTAACCTGGAAAGCCTCAAACAATTTCTAGTCCGAGCAGTTGAGCGCTTTCCTCAAGAAGTGCTGTGTGCTGTTATTGATGACAGGCCAGGGAGATTAAATGCCTTTGTCAAAGCAAAAGGAGAACATTTTGAGTAATTTCGTTTTTGTTTTACTCTCTATAAATATACGTTTTATTTTTGAATAAAGTTTTTTAAAAATTAATTTTTTTGTTGAAATATGTTTTTATATTTCCTTTTAACAATATTTATGACAGGATTAGGTATTTTAAGGGATATGTATACAACCTGTGCTAACGATTTAGAAGCTCTTAAATGTGTTCAAGTTGAGAAACTTATTTAAGATTTGTGTGTTTAATATTGGCTGCTATGGTTTAAAACCGGTGCTAATTATATGAACATAAAAAGGAGATTATAGTGAGGTTTTGGTCTTGTGTTGAGTTGTATGTTTATCCCAGTGCGACGGAATACAAGAAAAGTACATAAAAGGAATCAAGACAAAAATCTCATCTTTTCCAAAATAGTGGATGATCAAGTTGAAGGTAAGTAATTTTGTTTTTTAATTCTTAATCAATCTAAGGTTGCCACAATTCAGGTAATAATCAGTATTAAAATAAAAGACAAAAGAAGCTGTTAAACAGCAAAATCATCTGGTGAAAACCAAGTAATCATGAGTTTATATTTCAACGTAAGGTATCAATCAATTAAATATTATTATTTTTGTCCTCGGTCAAATCTGTAACAATATACTGAGTTAAGGGATCTCTATAATTGTTTTCCTAACATATTTTTCAATTATGAACCATTGTAATCGTCCAAAATATTTAGCCCTCTTCCCTCAAGGTTTTATGTTTCACGATACGTAGAAATCGGAAACAAAAAAATTTGACCGATTTTTTTAAAATTGGAATCAAAGCCA